GTATAAAACGTTTATTTTTGAGTTTCAGCATTACTTCTAGGGCTCGACTATGAGTTAGGTTTGTAAGAATTGTCATTCTTCTTCGATCATATGACTGGGGGGGTGATTTACGACGTTATATTTGAATGTCCAGATTTATAATCCAATCATTGTCCTCCAAGATAGTTTTCTTCAGTTATGCTGCCGTCAAACTTTTCGCAGCGGGCATTTTGAAATAATAAGCTACAAGGCCTGAATTTTACAACTGCTATCACACACTGGTGGAGGAGTTGCCCGCAACTCATTTGTTCTTGTCGAATCCGGTTTAACTTTGAACATTCTGGGCGAGCCAAATCCATGCCAAGGAGTTCTCTGACCGGATTAAAGAAAACGTCTTTGTTTTGGGCAGCTGTAACGCGCCACTCTGCTCACCACAGTTCCTGAAGACTCAGACGCGGCGTCTCGCTTGTTCCCATACTGGGTGGAGTGATGTCAGGCATCATGTGGGCGGCTGTTGGAGGACGCGATGAATGGGACGCTGGCGATTTGTATCAGCGGCTGAAAAAGCGAAACGCTCGCTCGTCCCTACGGAGGTGAGGAGGTTCAATATGTTATTTATTGTGGAACTGCGTCAGACTTAGCAATACAGGGAATGTTTGACGGAACGTCACTTGGTAACCGAACATTGGACACGCAGTCTCTCGCGAGCAACAAACCTTTACTGCTCAAGATTTCCATTTGAAATGGATTTTTGAATTTTGACCGGAGTTGCCTCGACTCACTGCCAAGAGGTCCCGGATTCAGACCCCTGTCAGGCTACTTCCATTAGTTTCTTGCGAGGTGGATAAGTGAGTTCCACCCTGTGGAAAGCAAACAAGAGATTACACACTGTACTTGCTGCATAGTTGCTTTCAACTCTCCCTTTAAAATGAGGCACTCCTGGTTGAATGTATGCAAATGGAAATCAGCGCCTCATTAACTTCGTCGAAAGAAGGACACGGAGGCAGCATTCAGAAATGGCCCATTGATGAAAGCTTAAGGAAAACCGACATTCCAACGGTTACAAATTTTCCTTTTCTTACTTTTGAATTTTAATTATATTGAAAAATTGGAAGAGTATAACTATAGGTGTCGTCTATTTTGTACAAGCTGGCATGAAACCGATATACGATTCGAATGGTTGACTACAGCCAGAGCGCAGTATTCGATCTTGATGAAATTAGTGTAATTCATTTAAACGATTGAAACGACGTGATACGCAGGATTAAGCTGGTCATAGTGCATTGTTTTGCCTCTTATCGTATGCGCTTCATCCCATCCAAGTTTCACAAACAAGCTCGACCTCAACGATGCCAGGGAATATAGCGTTTTTAACATAGAATTTAGAGCTGTTACATCGAGAACAATAATTGTGGGGTTAAAAGGTACTTTAGCACGCCTGTGATATCGTCATTGTAAGTATATCAACTACTGAGTCTTGAGGTCGATGCATCTTCTAATTCCCTGGTTAGCAGCAAAGAAAGCAACGTAAAATGCTGAATTCGTAAAATTTGCCAAACGAATAATAATGAGTTTTTCTGAAATTCGGTAAATCGATTGCCTAACTAAACGTTACCTCATATTCGCTTTTAATTAACAATCTCCGAGTGAGTTTCATCCTAGTGTTATCGTCAGTATTATGCCCTGATATGTTTAATGATATGTCTGTGTCGCTGCAAAATTTTTGGCGATATTCCTTTCCTTGTCACTACATTGGCATTGCCTTATTTTAGGTATTCGTGGTGCAGTCCGCGTCTCTGCGAAAATCGGTACTACAACAGTGAAAAAGTCTGCTTAAAAGACTTGATTCCTCTAGAATGCGCATCTGGCGAGGTTTCTGTGCAGCACCCGAACAAGGAGCGAATTGTCGTCGGTCATAACGTCAGTTTCGACAGGTCGTATGTGCGGGAGCAGTATTTTTTGAAGGTTTCTCATTCGTCGCTCACTTCAATAATACTGGGATTAAGGATTATTTTTTCAGGGAAGCAAACTTCGGTTCTGGGATACAATGTCCATGCACATTGCTATTTGTGGTTTAGCAGGCGATCAGCGAACCCTGTTCATGGCGGCCAGGAAAGACCGTAGAACGAAAGCGACTAACGATGCTTTGGAACACACCGAAACTCATTCTCAAAAAGCAAGTAGTTCATCGAAAGCCGCTGATTTCGTAAGTAGCGTGCGCTCTTTGCCAGCCGTTTTGATGCGAGCTAGCCTCGACTAGCGTATTTTCTCTGCTAGCTGTATGGAATTAAATTTGTATGGTTATACTGTAAATACGGTATTGAAACCACGGGCTAACATAAGCAAACCTCATAGCTCTCCGAATTAAAGATATTTTCGTTCGCGAAAATCGGTCTGAGCATTTGTACCAGGGAAGGCCTGTCGGCCGTCGTTTCTCTTCATTTGTTCCCTAGAAGTTAGTTTGCATGTACTTCCGGCGAAAACAGAAATGCTGTATAACTAATGGCACGCCTTTTTCAAACAGTCACCGATTTGATACATCGGTGTTCGAAATTCTCGCATAAGGGGAGAAGAGAATCAGTGTCGCAGTGGATTTGTAGATTGCTTTGCACGTTGAGGTGACGAGTTTCAGCGCGCTTCGTAAATCTTCTTTTATCAACTACTTATTTCCTTGAACAAGGAATCCACCCCACTGTGCTTCAGTGCAACCAGTTGAAACACGGGTGGCAAGTCGTTCACCTACGAATAATGGGAACAGTACGTTAATGTAAGGTGATCATACTGAGGCTTGTGGAATATACGGCTATGATGCCTGATACGTGCGTTGCTATTACAAGTCGCCTCTACCCACTTGATAACGAACAAAAAATCACAAGGTGTAAATGTTCAACATAATTGAATCTTATTCAGTAGCGGAGATTCCATCCTCATGAACAGTGCATGAATTGCCATTGTATGTCTAAAGATGACAAAGAGCAAAAGTGAAGTTTGTTGTCGTGGTGTAAGTATCCATAAGTGTTATGTCTGCCATGCTCCCTGGTCGTAGCCCTGTCTTGTGTGAAACCTTTTTGCGTTACGCATAGTCGTGATTATCATTATAAGTTATTTACAATCAGCTATCTGATGGTTCAACTGCAGCCCCATGAGGCACTACGGCCGGCCATTCTGGTTTAAACACCAGAATATCATACGGTCGTTGTTGTTCTCAGATCTTGCTACCCGTTTCTCGGCAGGTTGCACGGAAGCAACTTGGGATGCATTTTTTTCTGGAGGGAATCAGCGGTTAAGACAATTTTCTATTCTCAGTTCTCCAACCTGACACCTCCGTGGTTCGAAGCTGACCTCTTTACCGCTGTGTCCTGCGCCCAGGGGATTGTAGCGCATCGCTGATTTCTGTCGTGATTCTATCAACCAGAATGTGCTATTTGTGTCAGCAGTGGCTTCATCTACTTGTCAAGTGCCAGCGTAGTTAATCTTCCATTATTATTAATCGACACTTTGATTGCCACTGGATAAAGAAGGCTTAGTTTCCGTTCTTTAATATACAGCTATACATAGGAATAAAGAACAAGAAGCGTAACGACAGCAAATTTTATCCTCTGTTCGAAAGATTACGGCGTAATGTCTTTTGCTGAATTATCTTTAGTGCCGTTGTCTGGTGCTGACTATCCACATGAATAAGAGATGTTTGGTTTATCCAGTTTCTGATATTGTTCGCTTGGCGATATCTCCAGATCCTCCTTAAATCTAGTCCACGATTTGTCATCCTCCCTTCAGCAGGTTAAATGATGGAAAGATTTCATTACGTTTTCTTTTGAGAATAATATGGACCGGTGATCCAGCATTTTTTTTTAAATTGGCGTATCCTCCTGCTTTGCCTTAAAAACACAAAGATCTGTCTGTCAAGTCACGCATCAGTTTCGTTAACCTATCTTTTCAACGTTCAGGACAAGTTTTCAGCGCTCTAGAAAATGTACTCCATTTTACGTTATCATTGTTGCTAGAATGCTGTGGTCGTTGCTTACCCTCTGCGGCGTGAATTCCGAGCATAGATTTGCTGAGAACATGGATTTTCCGCTGCATATCATTCGACGGAGACGAAAACTATTACACAGTTGGTTAGAGTTTCAGTAGCGGCCCTTCTATATCTCTGCTATGTGCTCTGACCTGCATGTTTGCTTATTTAATTAGCACAAGATATGTAATGACAAATAATGATAGCGGCAAAGCGAACAAGCTGGTGTCCGCCAATCGTTTGAGTTTCATAAGGTAGAAAACTCGTAATATTTCTTGAATTTAAATGCTGGGAGTTTTCTGGCATTTTCACTGCCGGCATGGACTGAAATCGGCTCTGCTACATCGTCAGCTATAGCATTGTTATATTGAAAATGCGGCAACAAAGTTAATGTTCAGCTCTGGCTGTCTGGGGCGATGCCTGGACGTTTTAACCTGTTGCTTTAATTAGGATTACATGGTACAGCTTGATTTAGACACGATTCACATGAAAAACTCTCTACTGTCCGTTCGTCCATAAACTTTCACTTAAAAACATAATACTGGCTTTGCATAGGTCAAGGTGTGGCCGATCTGGTAATGAAAACTAACTGCACATATCTAAAAGGCAAACGAAAGACGGTTTAGTGGTTCGATAAAACGTACTGCAATAATTTACCAATCAAGCATACTTTGAGGTGAAGCTGAACAACATTTACAAATCAAGCTGAACGGTAAAGTGATTTGCATCTTTGCGCTTATGACAGAATTGGAAGTGGCTCGATGAAACGACTACTAACTCGCTGGCCGAGGTTCACCGGTTTCACTGCACGGACAGCGCGGTAGTTATCGATAAAAATTTGCGAGCCACGTTCATGAACGGAACTATCGACGACACGCGAGCTGATTTTCAGAACTTAATGACGTATTGTGCGATCGACGTTCAGGCTACGTTCGAGGTATTTTCCAAGCTGATGCCGCAGTTTTGGGAACGGTATGTTAAATGAAGAAATTTCGTTCATTTGAGGTGTTGTCCCACTTTAAACTGTTTCTTTTTCTTAGGTTTCCTCACCCAGTCACCACTTCCGGCATGCTGGAAATGGGTATTTCGTACTTACCGACGAACACTAATTGGCATCATTACCTGAAAGCCGTTGAGGGCACCTATAACATGTACGAAAACCAGATACGACATCTGCTGTTCCAGCGCGCCATCGAAACCTGTCGTCTTAGCCAGTGCGACCGGTGAGCATATGCTTCTCTTTGTGGGTTTATGCTGTGCATTACGCGTGATGCTGGTTAATATTATTATTTAATATCCATACGATAACTTATCTGAAGCGCGCATCATCTGGAACTGGTAAGCACGTAGCTTGAAAATTTGCATGTACGTTACTTCTGTGGTATGCCGTGAATATTACGACTTTGAGCGGTAAGGCGGTGTTCTCTGTAAATTCAGCCTCAGCGTCTGCATTCTGATGCGGAAAAAATTGAAGCGGTGAATCGACATGTCAGGATGCTGTGTATTCTGCGCGATTGCTGATGTATTCTGGTCACGAAGGC